TATATATATATATACATGTGTTTATACCTGTATATACATTGTATGTGTATATATTTTATCTATGCAGGCCCGTGCGAGTGTCCCTGGATTTGTCCACCAACATGAGGATGTGTGGGAAGAGACCTCCGATCCTGGCCAGATACAAGGTGAGATTGTGAAAGTACTGGGAACAGATGGCAATGAGGCATATCAATGTATCGTTTCTGATCCCATGGCTTTTCAAAAATATATTAATGAAAGAATTTTCCTGGCATACAAATTTAAAAAAATGCTAAAGCATGGTTGTGTTTCAGCATTAAAGGGAGAATGAGTGCACGATCTTTTATTATGACTTTTTTGCAGTTTCTTGTCCAGGGGATGCCTTTCTCTGACAAGAATCAAAACAATTAAGATAAACAAAAGGTTTTTGCGAATGAACGGTCGACTGGTAAGAAGGAAATTAACTCTTGAAATAGTGTTACTGTTTTGTAAATACTGAATTGTTTCCCTTGGACAGTCAAACTATGAAGAATGAAGTTGTAGCACTCGGCACCAGGTACTGTCATGTGATGTTTTTGTACTATCTGGTTGAATTTAAATGTGCATAATAAATTTCTGATTTCTTATTTTATGATTGTCTAATTCTTTTATTGATACATGTACTTAAAATCTGCATCCCCACTCCGCATCCCCACCCAAAAAAGAACCCCCCCCCCCCCTCCAAAAAAAAAAAGGAAAGATTATTTTAATCTTGTTCCAGAACAGAAAAACTCTGTTCTGCTGCTTGTATTATAATGTACGTTTTGTTCCTTAGAATCAACACATTACTTCTAGAAGTGGAATTCAGCTATCCTGGTGACATTCAGGGGATAGGCAATAAGTAAAATAAAGTTTTTCCCGTGTCCGATCCAGACATTGGGGATTGCCTTGTTAGTGAGACAACTTCTTGGGCCTTCAGCATATTGCGGTAGGGTGGCCAGTTCCTTTCCACACCGCCTTTACTTCCCCAACTCGAAGTCAGGCACCCATTACTGCTGGGTGGGCAGAAGGGGGCGAAAAAAATTCCATGTTCGAACCGAGGCTCGAACCCGAACTTTCCGCTTCGGAGACGAGCACACTAACCGCTCCGCCACTGCACCGTCAGACAATAAGTAATGACTCTAAATAATTCTCTCTTCTGTCCACCAGGCAGGGTTCAGCTCCTCTGGCGACGTTCAGGTGATTGACATGGACGTCTACATGGACATGGGACACAAGCTACGAGCTGGTGGCCTTGTTTCAACCCTCGGCTTTATTGACATGGGTTAGTGACATTTCTCCTCATAGCTTCTCATTGTCTTCACTTCATACGCTAAAAAGAAAGGTAATTATTGTAAGTAATTTACACTTAACAACCCCCCCCCCTCGACACACGCAATTTAGTCATTCATCTGTTGTTGGCAGTTTTGACGCTGCATGTGAGGGTCAAATTGGGCCGTTTACAACGACCTTGAATCAGATGGAGATGCTTGGTTTAATATTTCCCCACTCAGAAATCTGTCTGTCTGTCTGTCTGTCTATCTGTCTGTATGTCTGTCTTTCTGTCTGTCTGTCTGTCTGTCTGTCTACATGTGAGGGCCAAATTGGGAATAACAACTGATATGTTGTGCCAATTTAAAAGGGACTTTAAACATCAGTGGTCCCACATGTTTGAATAACTTAACAGTAATGGAAGGACTGTAAAACTCACACTATCAACAGTCATGGATATGGTTTTTGTTTGAACAGTCCGCTTCTTAAATAACCTTACATTGTTGAAAGAGGCATAAAACCCAGCTAATGAACATAATTACCAATGTCACTGCTTTCAGGGTACTTTATCCCCAACTGGAAGATACGAGGTCACGCCATGTTCACCAACAAACAGACCATGTCACCCACCCGTGCTCCAGGTAAATGTCAGTTAAAGGAGAAAAATGAATGACAGAAGAACATAAAGGTCTATCTGTCTGTCTGTCTGTCTGTCTGTCTGTCTGTCTGTCTGTCTGTCTGTCTGTCT